GAGCTGGGCCTGGATAAAGGTGGAGCTGGGCCTGGATAAAGGTGGAGGTCTAAACAGACGTGAGTACAGCTTCCTGCTGTCACAGTGTTTTAAATACATTGACAAGTACAGCAACAAGGCTCACATGTCCTCTCATCACACTGTTCACTGTGATGACCATAGCCGGTGTACTAACAGTCCCACGTGCTGCTATTATTATTATCACAGCTATTATTTTACTTTTAGAATGCTACATTTTAAAGCTCATATTTAAAATAAAATGCTCCAGGTATGTGTGAGCATATGGCTCACACATACCTGGAGCATTTTGTTTAGTTTTTCACAGGTTGCAGTTTATTGTTATTATCTTAGAAAGATATTCAGTGCAAAACAGGTGAATTGCAGCCACAATAAACTATGTTTTGCCAAATATTAGTTATTTTTTGCACAGATTGAACTTTATTTGCATTGTTCTAACAAAGCGATTGCACATTGTGTTTGTTTTTGTCTGATGGAGCAATCTGGTTTACTTGAAAGTAATTGGAATTTTCTTTATTCTATTATTTGAAGAAGCACAGATGGAGGAGTCACAACATGTTATTTCAATAAAAGTTCAACATGCACCATTTTGTTACAATGTTGTTGGGGCGGTGGGGCATGAACATTTTTCTTCCTCCAAAGTGGGGCGTGACAGAAAAAGTTTGAGAACCACTGATCTAAAGGCTCTGGGTGGGGTTTCATCTCACCGCTCTACCCATCGCTGTATGATGCACTTGATGCTACTATCTCGTGTGTTTTCACCACGAGCATCAAGTGGCGGACGTGTGCTTCATACTCGGCACAGATGAGTCTCTGTTGGAGCGAGAGGAGACGCGGTGCTCAACGTTTAGTCTCCACCCGGCTGCTCTGCTCCCACAGACGGGCTTCTCTGTCTTTGTCGTGATCGTGTCCGTCTGAAACATAACGCTCAGGACAGACGGACATTTTCTACGGAGACGTCACCACAACTTTAGTGAAAAGTTCAGAGATGTTTAACTCGAGAGGCCGCACACAAACAGGAGGAGCGCTCAGAAACAGACGCTGGAGAGAACATGACATCATGAGGAGGTGAAGGTGAAGAGCTGGTGTCTCAGAATGATTCTCTATAATTAAGAAATACACTTTACTGTAGATGGTTATAGTTCTTGTTGAACGAGCCTGATTCTAAGATGCTCTTTGGTTCCTCGACTCTACAGCTGCTGCGTGTTCTGTGTATCAGGTGGACCTTTGATTCATTTAGTTAAACAGGACAGAAGCTGAGGGATTACTCAGTGTCTCGTATTGTGATCCACATCACAGCCATGTGTTTTGAGTGGAGTGAAGCAGCAGAGTGATGAATCATAGATGAGACGGACAGAGCTGCAGGTAGAGGGACTCATAAAGAAAACATGATGGTGAAGGTGTGTGTGATGTGGTGAGGTGTGTGT